CACCTTCTATGTGCTCTACTAAAGCCATGGCATTCTGACAACAAAAATAAGAGTCCCACACATTACCGGTGAGCAATCAAATGGCAATAAGCCAGCATGGTATAGTAGTTAGACTGCTGGATTACGCTCTGGGAGATCCAGATTCAAATCCCACTCTACCATGAAGAAAATGGTGTGACCCCCCCACACCTAACCTATCTCACAGGGTTGATGTGAAGAGGAGGAAAGAGTCATGTATGCCACCTTGAACTCCATGGAGAAAATGGAAGGGGGGGGGAAATGTATTAAATAAATAAGTATTTGTGTTTGTGCTTTGTGGCAGGGCAAAGTAGTGTTCAGAAGAACACCTCTAGAGCTCCTAGACATAGGCCCTCAGTAGATCTGTACCAATTGAACTGAGGATGGAGTCCCTGTTCTATGGAAATTCCTCCAGACAAGCAATGTGAATCACCTTTTCCTGCCATTCCAGTGTGTCTCAGATAGCAGGAGGGGGTTATTTAATAAACGGAGTATGTGGGTGAAGGGATGAAATCCCTGCCTCTCTTAATACACTTCACCACATTCCAACGATCAGAGTACAACACCGGATGGGGGCAGGGTTTGGCTCCCCTGACACACATGCACTCATTTGCTTTAAAATAATGTCTACACATGAATGGAAGGGTTTGTGTGTGTGGCCCTGTCATAGGGTTGCCAGCCTCCAGGTGGGGCTTGGAGATCTCCCGCTTCTACAACTGATCTCCCGCTGACAGAGATCAGCTCCCCTGGAGAAAATGGCTGCTTTGAAGGGTGGTGCTCATTGAGGATGATGAACCTTTCCTTGTACTATAATATGATTTGTACCTTGAAAAGATTTACTAAATGTCTTAGTCATTCACATCACAGTGTTTACTATTTTGGTGTATTTCCTGTATGGATAACTGTGATCCCTTCCTGGTTTTTCCTGCTTTTATTGGGGATAATGACACATAATTGATATATATTAATAATTTTAGAATGTATTTGGATTGGGCCTGTTGCAGCAATGTTAACAGTATGCTTGGAGACACCACTTGAGTCATCATATCTGGAACTATATAAGTTTTGATTGGATTAGTAAAGACTATGTCATAGTAAGTATTCATAAATGTTGTTCCACTAGCTCTTTTACCTGGCTGGAGGACCTTGGGCTGGAGGACCTTGGGCAAGCCGTAGTTCTGATACGAGCTGCTCTTGAAAAAGAGCAGTTTCTGTCAAGAGCTCTCTCAGCCCCACCTACCTCACAGGCAGTGTTCCCTCTAAGCTGAGTTAGTGTGAGCTAGCTCACAGTTTTTTAGCCTCCAGCTCACACAATTTTGTCTTAGCTCAGGAAGGATGATTCCAGAGCAACCTAATTTATGTGCAGCCAAATCGCTCACTCACAACTTTAATGCCAGTAGCTCACACAGTAGAATTTTTGCTCACAAGACTCCACAGCTTAGAGGGAACATTGCTCACAGGGTGTCTGTTGTGGGGAGGGGAAGGGAAAGGAGTTTGTAAGCTGCTCTGAGACACCTTTGGGTAGTGAAGGGCGGGGTATAAATCCAATCTCTTCTTCTTCTTTTTCTTGGAAGTGATAAGTTTTTGGGATGATTTCTAAATGGTTTAACTCTTGATATTAAAGATGATAATTCCACAATTATTTTAAAATGTAAAAATTGAGCCCAGTTCATCTCTTTAAAGCATTACATTAAGTATAAGTGAATTTAAAAGTGGAAGTATGACACAAGGGTTCAGCCTGTAACAACCTTGTTAATGTTTTATACCATTAAGAAGAAGAAGAAATTGGATTTATACCCCGCCCTTCACTACCCAAAGGTGTCTCAGAGCGGCTAACTAATTTATGCAGTAGCCAAATCGCTCTCTCACAACTTTAATGCCAGTAGCTCACAAAGTAGAATTTTTCCTCACAAGACACCGCAGCTTAGAGGGAGCATTTCTCAGGAGTAATCCTATTTATTGTATTGAAAGCTTGTTGTAGAGAGCATTTTGCCATCCAAATTTAAAATTGAACGCTTCCAGCCGGGTAGAAAAGAGGACTGGTTTGCTATTACTATAAATATTAATACAGTGTTCATGGAGAGCATTTCAGCCAGCAAAATATAGAAGGCTTTTGCACCTAGTTAAAGAAGACAAGACTGGCTTGCTCCTAATGCGAACACTTAAAATGGAACCAGAAGTAAATTCTATTTTTTTAAAAAAAAAATTAAAAAATATTTTTAAAATTAAAAAATTATATTCCATTCAGCTTCATGTTGCTTTTCATTTTAAATAACTATGGTTTTTCCCAGCATAATTTGAAGAAAGTAAAAAAGAAGTTAAGCACTGGTTTGCTCCTAACATAACATTGAGCTGTATGAAGAAGCTGACACCTTTCAACATAATAGGATTACTCCTGAGGAAGATTGGGACAAAATGAGCTTATATCTGGGTGCTCATTGAGAATGATGGCCTTTTCCTTGTAATATTGCAAAGTTTTGTATAATATGATGTTTACCTTGAAAAGATTTACTAAGGCCCCGGTCACACGTAAAGGTTTGGCCCGGGAGAGGGACGGATTGGGGGTGCAGCAAATGGGCACGATCTCACCGCAACATCTGGGAAGCGGTGCGCACCCGTCCCCGATCCGTCCCAACCCCCGAAAAGGCGCAGCAAAAATACACCACCTACCGAGGTGGTTCTTCCAGCGCGGTCGCATCAAGGCCGGCCGTGGGATCGCCGGCGCGTCCTTCTGCCGGCACATCCCTGGCTCCTGGCTGAATTGTGCATGCTCAGACATGCGCAGTTCAGCAGTCTCCTGTTCCCCACTGTCGCTTTCCCCGGCATCTGATTGTGCCGGGGAGGGAATGCGCCGCGGCTCAGGGGATCAATGTGATCCTGCCGCTGCGTGTTTCTTTTGGTGCGGCTTTATAAGGCCGCACTTTCGCCCGTTCCTTTCCCCCCGTGTGGCAGGGACCTAAATGTCTTTGTTATTTGCATCACAGTGTTTGTTTGTTTGGTGTATTCCCTATATGGATAACTGTGATCCCTTCTTGGTTTTTCCCCTGGAGAAAATGGCTGCTTTGAATGGCATTGTACCATGCTGAGGCCCTGCCCCTCCCCTCCCCAAACTCTGCCCTCTCCTGGATCCACCCCCAAAATCTCCAGATAATTTCCAGCCCAGACCTGGCAACCCTACCCTGTCATCAGGGCAAATACTAACACCAGGAATGGAGAGACTATTTGTACTGTGATAAAGCTTAAAGCGTGGCTGCTTTGTGCTTTCATGTAACACTGCAGACAATTAAGAAGAAGAAGAGTTTGTTTTTATAGCCTGCTTTTCTCTGCCCTAGGGAGTCTCAAAGTGGCTTGCAATCACCTTCCCCTCCCCACAGCAAGCACCTTGTGAGATAGGTGGGGCTGAGAGAGTTCTGAGAGAACTATGACTACCCAAAGGTTCCCCAACAGGCTTCATGTAGAGAAGTGGGGAATCAAACCCATTTCTCCAGATTAGAGTCTGCCACTCTTAAACACTACACCAGCCTTATACCTACACCACTACAGCAGCCTCGAAAGCACAATAGCCTTCTCGGGACCTGGGATGTAACGAGGCCCTCTTGTCCACATAGCATTAAGGATACCAAAACCCACCAAAACTTATACAGCAACACTAATGACAGAGCAATAAGTGTCATGTGCTCTGGGACAAAACATTCACTGGGTGAAAAACCCAGAACTCATGTAGTCTAAGGAGACTGCATACACACTGTAACATTTGTCCATCTTTGTTATGTATACAGGCCCAGGCTAGCTTTCCTCCATGATAACACACCTTAAAGTTTGCAGTCTCCTTACATGCAATCAACCATCTAAATATATTTATGATTTCTTCCTTTACAGACCTCCTTTATAAATTATCAGGCTCTGTTTTATGACTTCTGAACCGTTTTATGACTTCTGAACCTTAGAGGCAATACGTATCTGTGCAAACCAATGTTGATTGTATACTGTGATAAATTATAGGCTCAGATGAGTAGGTGTGTTGGCCTGAGGCAACAGAACAAAGTTTGAGTCCAGTGGCACCTTTAAGACCAACAAAGTTTAATTCTGGTTCTAAGCTTCCATGTGCATGCACACGTCTTCCAATACATTGAAACAAGACTTCCTCACCCATTACATATAGGTAAAGGGGGAGGGGTTAGTTGCCAGGAAGGGCTAATTAGGGTCAAGATGCATAACTAACTGTGGCCCCGGTCACACGGAGATTTTGCCGCGCGAAAGGCACGAGTGTCGGGCAGATTTTCGGGGCAAGATCACACCAGAGCATCTGGGAAGCGTAGCGCACCCATGGCCAACCCGTGGCATCCCGCCGAAGATGCGGAGTTAAAAAGTACCAAGGAAAGTGCACTAGTATCCGGCACAGGCGAGCGTCTGATCGCGGGAGCGCTAGTATCCCGTGGCATCCAGCGCCCGTCCACAGCCCGACGCAAACCGGATGTTTTTCGTAAGCACATGCGCACAAACACGAAACAGAAAGCAGTGCTGCTCCGCGGAACTGCACATGTGCACAAATGCGAAACGCTTGTGTGATCACACCGCACTGCTTCTTTGCCATGCTGCAGCATCGCCGTGTGATCACCAGCTAACAGCCTAAGCACGGAGACTTGGGGGACCATGTGAACAGGCTACTGTGATTTATTTTGCTCCGGGGCGAATAGCTACGCCTCCCCCCACACACACGTTATCTGGCCATGTGACCGGGGCCTGTGTGAAAAGTATAGCTAAGGTTGGATTAAAGCAGTTGGTAGGTACCTATATGTAATAGTTGAGGAAGTCTTGTTTCAACATATCTGAGGAAGCGTGCTAGCACATGAAAGCTTATACCCGGAATTAAACATTGTTGGTCTTAAAGGTGCCACTGGACTCAAACTTTGTTCTGCAATAAATTAAGTATCTTTTAAGCCTCAAAGGCTCTGCTAAAAAAAACACGCTTCACATCTATGAGGCTTTATACTTCACTCCTCCAGTTCTGAACAAGTCCCCTCACAACTTTACAATGGATTCTCTGTAGATTTGCTCGCCCTGTCCCTATCAAAACAGCTTGTGATGTTCCTCCTGTTATTAGGAGCTGACCACAATCATGCTTAGATCATTTCTGAAAATAATCCTCCCATCCTTCTTGGTGCTGCATTCCGGTCGGCCGAGAGCTTGTCGAAGCTGTTGCTTAAGACCAAGGGGTGCGGTGTTCATGAAGTCTTTTGTCCCTGTCAGGAAGTCTAGTGTGTGACCTCCGGTGGTATCTCCATCGATAAAACATTCAGTGATATCCCAGTCAGAAGGGAAATCATAAACCTGGTACTTGACTCCCATTCCGTCCAAGACAACTTTGATGTCATTGGCTGTGATGTAGTGGCCACTGTCAGTTGGAGGTAGGCAATGTCTGTATTTCTTCCATATAGAAGCCCATCCACTGTCACCTATTGGAACACATCATATGGAATCGTTAGTTTCTCTAAATCAGTGATACTCAGTGGCTCTAGAACTGCTTGTGGCGCTGTGACATGTCATCTGTGGATCTTCTAAGCACTGCTCCCCAGTATGGCTCCTGAAATATGTTGCCAGTGAATGGGCAAGACCCTTGCCCATGGGGCTTGTAGCTGACATGTGGTTCCCACCTTGAAACACCTGTCACCAAAAAACAAGTAAGCTGCAAGCCTCCCCAAGGAGCAGACCTCATGCCAACAGTGGAAGCAAAAGTGGCTCTATTGGTTGATGGTAACCACAGGTGTGAGTACAACTGCTCTAAATATTATACTAAATCGGGGAACTCTGTGTGGTGCTGTGGGTCTGCGATTTGTCACTGGATCCCTAGATGTGTAATTTAGCTGCAAATAGCAACTGCCTTGGAAGCAGGAGAGATTGTGGCACTAGAGAAGAGGAAGTCGTAACTCGGCTCCCAGGCACCATTTTTCCGGTCAGAAGTGCTCCTTTTTTGCACAAACATGAAAAATGAGTAATTTGTCCTTTGTCTTTACTTCAAAATGATGATCACATCCAAAGCTGGTCTTATTCAGCTCACCTAAGCAAGCCATGTCCAGCAGATCAGCATAGAAGCAATGAGAAATGACACGGAAATGACATGGAGCAAATCAGAGGGGCAGGTCCAGCCACTTGCCTTTTTAGAGGCAAGCTGGCACATCTACTGACAATCACTCTTGTTTGGGGGCAGATGCACCAGCTTGCTACTTGAAACAGAAAGCATGAAAGGTACAATATTCCTCATGATGCAGCTGCTGAGAGAGAAACTGCTCTAAAAATAGTAGCTCTTCAGCGAACAAATCCAGAAGTGAGGCCTGACCCTGGGGCACCACTTGGGATGAGGCGTGAGCTGCATCAGCTGTTACTAGCAAGTCAAAGGTCAGATTACTACACTGGATTAATGGCTGGAGCTGCAGTATCTCAAGTGGTTAAGACGCTGAACTGCAGGCTGTGGAAGGTCGTTAGTTCAGCAGTTCGGGACCCGTGTGTGCCGCATGATGGAGTGGGCTCCCGTCTCTAGTTCCAGCTCCTGCCAACCTAGCAGTTCGGAAGCAAGAAATTGCAAGTAGATAAATAGGTACCACTTCAGTGGGAAGGTAATAGCGTTCTGTGCGCCTTGGTGTTTAGTCATGCCGGCCACATGACCACGGAAACGTCTTCAGACAGCGCTGGCTGTTCGGCATTGAAACGGAGATGAGCACCGCAACCCTAGAGTCGGACTCGACTGGCTTTCGAGCAAGGGAAACCTTTACCTTTACCTTTTATGTGTTTAGCATTAGAAAGGTAAGAGATATTGACACAGTCAGTAGGCAAAACGCAAGTTCTAGATATCACACATTACCTGCCATTATTCCAAAACGTGGAATATGCAATACAATATATTCTGCCTTTTGCCTAAAGCTCTGTATTGAATTCAGGCAACTGTCTGATCCATAGCATCAATTCTTCCTTCCGCTGATGATATGTGGCTGTAGCTCTAAGAGCAGGACAATGAGGGACTTCACAATTATTTTTGTCCTAGTTTTCTTGTCAGAAATTGTACACTAATTGCATAGAAATGGTGCATAAGATACCGAGGGTGTTTAATTCCGCAGCAACAAATTAGGAGGACAGGGTTGCCAACGCTGACTTGGAAAATCCTGAAGGGCTTCTGACTGGACACTGCAGATCTGATTGACTCTGCAGATTAAATGGTACCCTGTACAAGGAGAGCTTCTGCCTGAAACGATGAAGAATTACTATACATAACCTTAGTCCCTGCCATGTTGGGGTTTGCTCCACCTCTTGAGGGAGTCCTTTTGTGGTTGTGCCTACCACTCTGGGTCAGGATTCCAAAGGTGCACACAGGCTCAAAAACAACGGAGACTCCTACTGTATGGTAGACCAGGGAGTCTGCCCTCCATAGCTATCTCCTCCAGTGGAATTTACCTCTGTCGTTCTGGGAGACTGTCAAGCCCCGCCTTAAATTTAGTAACCCTATGAGAAGCACCGGCAGGGCTCTTTTTGTTGAAAAAGCCCAGCAGGAACTCATTAGCATAATAGGCCATACCCAACAGCAGGAACTCATTAGCCTATTAGGCCACCCCCCCTGACAGCACAGCTCATTCGCATATTAGGCCACACCCCCATGTTACCAGAAGTGTGGTCATCCAGCCACACCCACCTTTTGCTTCTTATTCTCTTTACCTTGTTTGTTGTCAAAACCCAGGGCTTTTTTTTTTGGAGCAGGAACTCCTTTGCATGTTAG